ACATCTGGCGTAAGAGTAACACCGCATTTTAGAAAAAGAACATCATACCAACAGTAAAATATGGTGGTGGTAGTGTGATAATCTGGGGCTGTTTTGCTGCTTCAGGATCTGGAAGACTTGCTGTGATAAATGGAACCATGAATTCTGCTGTCTACCAAAAAATCCTGAAGGATAATGTGCGGCCATCTGTTGGTGACCTCAAGCTGAAGCGAACTTGGGTTCTGCAGCAGGACAAGCATCCAAAACACACCAGCAAGTCCACCTCTGAATGGCTGAAGGAAAACAAAATAAAGACTTGAGTGGCCTAGTCAAAGTCCTGACCTGAATCCTATTGAGATGCTGTGGCATGAACTTAAAAAGGTGGTTTATGCTCGAAAACCTTCCAATGTGGCTGAATTACAACAATTCTGCAAAGATGAGTGGACCAAAATTCCTGCACAGTGCTGTAACAGACTCATTGCAAGTTATCGCAAACGCTTGATTGCATTTCTTGCTGCCAAGGGTGGCCCAACCAGTTTAGGTTTAGGGGGCAAACCCTTTTTCACACAGGGCCATGTGGGTTTGGATTTTGTTTTCCCTTAATAATAAAACACTTCCTTTAACAACTGCATGTTGTGTTTTTACTTGTGTTATCTTTGACTAATATTTAAATTTGTTTGATGATCTGAAACATTAAAGTGTGGCAAACATGCAAAACAATGAGAAATCAGGAAGGGGGCCAACACTTTTTCCCACACCTGTAGGTCCTCCTGGCTCATATAAACTTATTGAAGGATGAGGGCAGGTATTTGCAAGCCAAAGAACTGCAGTTTCTCACTACTGTAGTAATGTTACCTTTGTGAACTTGGTGCTTTTCCCGAACCATGGAAATTTGCACTTAAAATTATCTCTACTACAGACTTGATAATACGAGAACTGTACTGCTAGGAATATCTCAGTCAATAACACAACATCATCTGTGATTTTATTCATTAATGGACCCATGCATGCTATATCCCATAAAACAAAAACGCATGAGCAGTTAAAAGCCTAGAAATGTAGCTTTAGGACTCTACGTAAAAGGCAGTTCAATGGCTTCAAAATCAAAAAACATAACCTCCTCTTCCATCCCACATACAGTATGTTCATTTACATTATAAAGACAATCAGCTTAAAAGGTCATTGTCCCAACTTGATACGATGTAACTCTAGAATTTCATGATAATACATTTATTCCGCTGGTCTCTGTCACACACGTCTGATTGGCTTCTGCTGGTTAAAATGCCTAGGATTAGTGTTGGTAGAGCAAAAACTAAAATCAAAGTGCCAGTAACAGACCTCACACAAAGTGTCTGAAAGAATCTGCCTGTAGCAACCATATTCTCTCTTCTATTTTCGATGTTACAATGGAAAACTTAGGAATCTCACTGGTTTCTACAGACAGATCTTCTAGGAAACCTGTCTGAGTAACCTTTGATTGAAGCTGCCAATGTTTGCCTTCAAGGCTGCAAGCTAGTTTAGAGTGCAGTCATCTTACAGTGAAGCAAAAACTGTCCTGGAACTAGTATAAAGTTATTTGGTCAAAGGAAACTTCTAAGCCTCTCGGGAGGATGACTAGTTTGATTACGGATTTCGAAGCCAAAATTAATTCAATAGTACAAAAAAATTACATCCCCTTTGTTTAAACTCCACCAATACAATGTTTATTAAATTAAAACAAACTTTTGAGTACCATATGTCAACTTACAACAGACAGAAAAGTCACATTCTGCAGATATTACAAAAATAACTTTTGCTGGCTGTAGAATGATTTTATTGGCTGGTATGATGCAGATTTAAGGGTAGCTCATGATCAGCTTTACACTGGCAGAAGTGGAACACAATAAAGCCAAGCGACTGAGAAATGAAAGTTACAGAGCAACCATATTGGTAAAATTCTGTCACCTAGGGCAAGAAGACAGTTATTTGTGTATGGCGCACTCAGCCACACATAATGGATCGCATATACTATTGGAAATGTATCCGTTAGTAAAACTATGTGAAATATTGCCATTGATTGAGTGTTCACCAAAAACGTGGAAGAGGGAAACATATTAAAAAAAAAAATATGGTACTGTAAAAAATCAGATCTGCTATACTTGGCCAGCATTGAAAGGCAGGTACACCAAAAACTGGCAGCTTTGAGTAGATGTTGGTGGATGACGGATCACTCAGGACCCCCAGCTGATACCCTACTCAGCCCCCAATACACACACTATTAGCCTTGACAAATCTTGCGAGCTGTAGGTGAACCTGATGTAAATAATTCCCAAGGTAACAGAGCAGCAGGGCACAGTACCCGTTTCAGCCCTAAAATTGCTCTCTGTACCATGGGGGTCCCTTGGATCCTAGACCCTGTCTGTACACAGGGTCTTGACTTGCAAAAGCTGAGATTAAGCCCCAATAGCAAAGGCTCTTGAAAGGTAGCAGGGCTTAATCTCACCTTGGACATAAATGTAGGCCTGCCCGAGTTTAGGCTCATAGAACCTGCACAAGGTCATAGAATTCTATTTAAAGACTAAAACAGGTACTTGCCAGCACCACAACTGGACTGTTGTTACCCAAGGCCAGTGATGGTCAACTTAATAAAAATAGATGGCCTCAAGTGTGGTCACTTACGTGCTTAGATTTTGTAAATTTGACTTAATGTTATGGTTGACGGCAACATGTTGCAGATTTGAGATTTTTACAGTTCTGAATGACTTTGCACTCGGTTTCTGCAACTGCTTGATGTTGACACAGTAAAAGCAAAAAGGTCATCTAGAGCAACTGACTTAATACTGGCATCTGGGGGTTAATTACATTTAAACATTTTTATATATTAAATTAAAACCTTTTTTTTTTTTTTAACTTTGTGGGGGTTTGTATCATGTCAGGGGAAATCTGATTCACCCCACTCATGCAGGCATGCAGCAACAGATCACTTCTATTAGGGCCTATTCACACCATCACATTAGAAAACTCATATGCAAGAGGAGAAATTTACATGAGTTTTTTTCTCCTTTATTTTTTTAGTTTTCTCCATGTGACTGATAGCGAAATGGTTAAAATCGATTATGTCCCTGTGGTTTTGCAGTGAACATGTATTATAGTGCAGTTACTGTACAACACAATGGTGTAAATGTGCCCTTAGTGGCTGTAATTATCTAGTAACAGAACGCTAAAGCTGTGATCTGTTGCTGCAGTGGGTGGAGACAGAGATGCATCAGGACTGAAAGGAAGCACCAAGACTAATTGCGTTTACAACGCTCTGCAGCAAAATGCTCCTTAACCAAGCTCTGCAGCAGGATCAGAACCCCAAGAGTGAATTATTGCAGTTCCTGAGCTTAGTGCTGGACTGCATCCGTCACTGAGAGCTGGCAGTTCCTGAGGTAAAATCCTGTGGAACCACTTGCACTTAATGTGCAGTCTACTGTGCTCCTGACTGGGGTTAGGCACCTGGGGTTTGGGTACTTTAAAGGCCAGGTCGTGCCCATGTTAAAGCAGAACTCTAGGAAGGTAGCTACATACACAGTAGCCTTGTTTCTCATAACAACTGAAATGAAGGTCCAGTTTTTTTTCTGCGGCCTTGCTTTGGCAGCCCATTCTAAATGAATAGGTTGCCCCAACGTAGTGCACATTACCACATCAAATACTGCAATGTAGTGTGCATGCAGTAATTCACCACAATGGAGCGACATAAGAGTAAAGGGGGCCTAAAGAAGGCAGCAGGTGATTAAATGTGCCTGGACAACTATCCAAAACAGTTTGTGTTGAGGCAAGACTAGCCCTTTCAAAGGAATAGTTGCATAAAATTAAAGTGACATTGAAGTCACAATCCCCCCCCCCACCCAATGCTGCTTTAAGGACTTACCTTAAATAATGCCTCTTGATCCAATCATCATCTTCCTTTCAATTGTTTTCAGGAGTTCCTCCAGCGCTGGTGCCAATCTCTGATCCAGCAATGACTGCTGCGTCTTCTGTTTCCTATGGTGTCTGACCAATGTGCACGCTCCCAACTGCGTGCAATAACTTACACTGTGTCTCTCCTCTTCTCCCGGGCCGAAGATATCTGCTGTGCATGTGCCCGCCCCATGATCCTTCACGGTCGCTCGAGAATCTTCAGACAGGAGCAAGCAGCGGAGACTTTTTTTGGTAACTATTTAAAAAAAAAAAAATGTTTTTGCATAGATCTACTGCTTGCTGGCAGGTGATATATGTAAAACCAAAATGACTTTAATTTTAAAATCCCATTATTGTGTAAAATCACATTCATTTCACATATCAGGACAGCAGATGCCTGATATCCACAGTACTTGTGCCAACACCTTTCTCAGCTTCCTAGTTCAGATGACCATTACAATGTAATGTTAAGTACCCAGTAATGGAAGGCAAAATATTCACTCACTGGCATGGTCAACGCTCATACTCTCAGTATAATATACATAATAACATACTGGAACTAGAATTGTTTCATACCACAAGAATGAACCATTAGGAAGTGAAGAGGGTGTAATAACTAACAAAAAGGGCCGAGCGTGTGACCTTTGAGTGACATGTCATAGTTGACTTTCCCTAACAATACAAGAAACACACAGGAAAAGAAGTAATTCTGAGCTGAGCTGTTTATTTTGCTGCTTGAAACCTAAGTGACATTATGCCACTGTAACTGTAATTATAGGGTGCCTTCTATAAAATAGCAAAATGCAGCAAACAGATCAGTTTATACAAGGAAGTGTTGGAAAGGATATGCATTCAAGTTATTGCAGGTTATTTTGTGAGACATTTTTCTTTCTCTGCAGGTAAAATGTTTAAATTGAACCAACAGTAATGCGTCAGTGTATATTTAAAATCGTGACAAAATCTTCTCTCTGGACTTGATTTGCCTTTGGCAAACTTTACTAAAGGTGTTGCGATTTACAGGACAAGATGACAACAATACAGCATAGATCCCGTAACATTTTGGTTATCTTCTGGAGGTTAAAGCTGTTTTCTTTATTCACTTGGGACAAATGCAGCAGTGAAAAACATACCAGCTGATCAGAAAGCGCTTCGGCCAAAATTCCTTTTTTCAGGGCAACCACCAACCAACAGTATATCTCTGCCATTCCACAGTTCTTTTTAAGGATTAAATGACTGCACTGTTGCCTTTAAGTACTTTTTATCTACTGAGTAACAACTTCTTCTTTGTTAAGCAAGCTTGCTGACAACAGCCTGGTTGAGAGAATTCAGTTGGTTGGTCCATTTATCTAAAGCAGTGTATCGTGCTCCTCCTCTCTTCTGGTGGTCCAGCTCCAGGAGTTGGTTTACTTGATCAATTCGCCCATGAATAGTGCTTGAAAAAGAAGAAAAAAAAAAAAGACAGAAAGAGGATGTTATTAAAGAGAAATCAGGCATCTGAATCTCAAATACTGGACACTTTATAGCATCAAACATAAATTGCAGTGATGGATCACTTCCTCTTCATGTTAGTTTTAATTGACTGAGCAGCTGTCATGTTTTCTGCTTTTGTATACGATTCAACCACATGAAACATCTTCAGCTGCATTTGCCTAACTCTGGGCTTTTTTGACCATGCATGGCAAGAAGAATGGGGTCACGCTCAGGCAAGATTGCTCTTGACTAATCGGTTCTCTATGTCCCACTGGCAGGCACTCCGATTAGATATCACCATACATAGATTTTTTGACACCGCCATCTTACCTTAAATGATGCCTCTTGATCCGATCATCTTCTTTCCAGTAGTAATTAGGAGTCCCCCCAGCGCTGGTGCCAGTCTCTGATCCAGCGCTGACTGCTGTGTCTTCTGTGCTTCTGTGTCCCATGGAGTCTGTGCGCGTGCACGCTCCCGGGTGCTTGCATTGACTTACCGTGTGTCTCTCCACTACTCCCGGGCCAAAGATCTCTACTGCGCATGAGCCCGTCCCATGATCCTTCACGGCAGCTCAAGAATCTTCAGACGGCAGCAAGTGACGGAGACACAGGTATAACCTGTTTGGTAACTTTAAAAATTTTTTTTTTGCCTAGGTCTACTGCTTGCTAGCAGTAGATATATGCAACAAAAAAAGTTTACATCTACTTTAAGGCTCCTGGTGAATTTTGGAAGCTATTTCAAGATGTGCCCACACACCTGACCTGTCTTTTACTAGACGCAACCAAGGCTTCAGTTTCTAAGTTGGAAATAGGTTACAAAGGTCCTCTTTGCAGACTAGTGGGGTACTGTTGGGATATTTGTACTTCAATTTCTTCTCCTCCCAGAATCACTCATGTACTGCCACTTTCCATTCCACAACTGTGCATCCCTCAAGATTTGCAGAGAATGCATAAAGCATTTTTACTTGATCAACTGCCATGTGAACGGAATTATTTACTTGATGATATTTGAATAACCCTTTGTGTATTATGTATAGAGAATGTTCAGAAATCTCACTTGTCACATCCCAGTTCAGTTAAGACACAGGTTGCCATTAAATTAGCGTAATTCTGGACATAGAGAATAAACTTTTACCACTGTCCCAGGTATGAAAAATTACAAGATACAAAGTCCCACACCAATATCTTTGCCTTTATAAATGAAATTTGCGTTATGGTTATTGACTGTTATAACCCACTGTTCATCTTGTTTGCTTTTTATTCCTTGAAATATGCAACCTGTGTATTATTTGTCAATTCCTTTAATAAAACTTTTGTGAAAGAAATTTGCGTTGGGGCGAACACAATTGACTATTCTTTTTGAAAAAAACGTCATTCTTTTAAGCACAGCCCATTTTTCTGTAGACTTTCAAGCATGGTTTAAAAAGGTCTTTGGATCGTTTGAATTGTCAAATCTGTCAATGGCTCAGTAGCGATACTGTCACTTCTATACCAACATAAATATGCATTGATTTGCCCTCACAGCTTAAATGTTAGGCAATCCAATTCACACTTTTCATCTTATGTGCGATCTTGTGCTTAGTCATTTGTAAGCATGTCATACAGACTTAAAACATGAGCACAATTAAAATGACAGCACATTTGTGACCATCATAAACTCCTATAAGAATTGGAAAGCAGGCATCTGCAACTATTTGCATATCTGAGATTCCTTGGGTTTGGGGCTCCCAGGGAGCATATGGTGTTGTGTAATGTTATCTACTGGTGCTTTTTGGTGCCTGGTTTACAATCCTAGTAGTAGTTTATTCTCGGCACGTATTTGTGATAATAAAAGAGACATGACATATAAAACTGATGCACTGTTATATTTAACTGAGGATTCGTTTTCATAAAGAAAGAGTAGAAAGGCAATGTGAGGCAGTACTTTATAGTTGAAGAAAGACAGCTGGAATCTGGGTACTTTTAAGTAGTATTAAACCCTCCTCTTTGTTATCCGTTAAATATTCATGTTTATGTTGCAAACATATAGTGCAATGTGTTTCCAAAAAATCTCTCCCCAGTCACTTGCTTTTGAGAATTATAAAATTGTTTCCTCCTCTTGCTCCATTGCTGCTTCTCAGGACTTCCGGCCGGGGAGGCCAATCAATGTACAGGTCACATGACTGCCCATGGGTCCCAAAATTCCTTTAGCTCTATTAACAAATACCAGCTTAGGAGTTTAGCTGGCAGTCACTGTCTGAGGAGCATGCGATTCAGCCATTCACAGCGTTCAGGGCTAACTGAGCACGTGGACGTCAGGCTGCAATGTGGGGCGGAAGGCACCCTAGAAGCGGAAGCAAGGGCTACTGAATTTTAGTATACAGACTGCAGAGAGCTGACAGCAGGAACAGAAGGCAATCATCAAACAAGCTAAGTGCAGAGGTTTGCTGCGGTATGTAATTTTTTTCTTTGGAGGGTTTAATAACACTTTAAGATGATAAAAACATAATAAATGACAAGAAGTTAAATGTTAAATACCCTAAAACAAAAATATGGAGGGGGGGGTAGTCTGAGGTCACCAACCCGCAGTCCAACTAAGCTGTAATAAAGAATCTTGAGTGCAGCCCCAACGCTATGAGGTGATCAAAAGCTTGTTGTAATGCAGCCCCAGATGCAGAAGGAAGCTAAAATAGCATAGTTTCCGGGAATCTTTAAAATGTTGGAAAGCCAAAGTAGTGTTAAGCTCTCAAACTCTTATTTTCAATAAAGAATCCAGAACAAATATACAGTACATTGCCCAGCAAGTATTTATTGACATTATTGGCCAAGCTCTTACAGTCATCATGTTTCTGAACAGCTCCAACTCTCTGAGCTCAGCTTCCCTGAATTTCCTGTCCAGTACAAGATCACAAAGGGCAAAGCACAGAGCAGTCTCCAGGAGCCATCCATCTACTAGCTTGGAGAAGGCAGGAGTGGGTAGCAGGGAACTGGATTTTGTTGACACACAGCTTACTAGCACACACAAGGGTGGCTCCATAGGATCTTGCAAGGGAAAAGAGCCACCCTTATGTGTCACTTTTTTGATACAGAGCTGCTTTTCAGCTGCGCTGTAAAATAACGGACAGGTTCAGGATGTTTCAAACGCCACTAAACAGCATTAAAAGTTTTCACTCTCTACACAACTATGTTCCTTTACATGAACAGAAATTAGCCAGCAGTACTGAGACATGGTCTGTAATGCTACAACACAGGCTGTGCCAGTAAATGGCATCAATGGTAGTTGAAGTTCATATCAGGCTGAGACATTCCACCATACATATAACAATTACAGAGAATAATACATTTAATCTGTAGTTTGCAAGGTAGGTGAAATAAAGAAAAGAAAATGACTTACTTATCCAGTATGCACTGAACAAGCAGACTCTCAACATCTGCTACATCTATGTTAAGCTCCTAGACAAACAGAAGGAAAGGGAGAGACATTACTTAAAGTGAGCCTGGTGAAATAATCTACATACAATCTATTCATAGACAAAGGTTCCTGTAATACAGTAGTAAAAAAAAAAAAAGAAGAGCAAAAAGAACTTTGAACTGGAAAGCAATTCAATTACATGGTGAAATATTTTACATACAAACATTTCCTTGAAGCTTTGCATATTTACAACATGATTCAGCTTCAAGAACCCAAAAACACAGTGAGTTGACCTGCAGCAGATCAGGGCAAAGCGTATTTAACTAGCTGGTAGCCTCGCCTGAATGGTGGAAAGTACAGGATTCAAGCGACTTTCATGCCACTGGTTATTTATTTAGGGGATATAATATTAGGTAAACTAAAAGCTGAGCAGAACGGCGGATACACACCCAGCAGTGACCATGTGCTGTAGCTGAACCAACCTAGATAAGATATAAAATGTCAAGCACATGACTGCCTAAAGGAAAAGCTAAGTATAACAAGTCCTCATATCTTATTTGTGTGTTGCAATTTGCAAAGGCATAAAGAGAATGTAGAAAGTATACACCTTGTCCTTGTTAGATTTATTGGTTTAATGAGTAACTCTAAAGTAGAATGACGCAAAACAATTGATTCCCTAAACATAGTACAAGAAAACGGTCACCTACATGAACAAGCATTGTCTGTGTTCCATAATGACATAACTGCTGACATTATTAACAATGGAAAGAGCAGTTCAACATAAAAAGGCCAGATAGTGTGGAATAGGTGTATGGAAGTGCTACATCATTCCAAATCGATTCCTACTTGTAATAAAAGATGTAACTTCTTTATAGAAGCTCACATTTGGTAACACAGAAAAGCTTCTCAAACCCTCCCAGAAGTAAATCTGGCCAGCCACGGATCGAATCTCGGACGTTTCCTGCAGATTAAGCTGAATTTGTATCCGTGGGTAGTCCCTGTTGGCACCACCCGGTTCAACAAAAGTCCATTTACGATCAACCTTTGTCTAAGGAGTCATGTGGAAACTTGTCAGCCCAACATTAACTGCAGCCAATTAGCTACAGTCATCGCTTGTGACAGTTGCAGACTCCGGCTGTCAGAACACAATAGCCTACATGGGAGATTCCTCCATCCAAGCTCTTGAGCGGGAATCACCCGAAGCCCCTGGTGTAAAGTTTATCTAACAAAAATGTTACATTTTCCAAGACACTTCCCAATAGAAAAAAAAAAATCTATATAGTGTGTCTGGATGAAAATTGGGTTGACTCCTGAATCGTCCGAAATTTGATCTGTGGGCGGTCCTTGTGGAAATTTTTCAGCCCAATCAGCTGCAATCGCTGTTTGGGTATTCTGACAGCCGTGGACCCCAGCTGTCAGAACACAATGCCTGGCAATGGAGATTCTACTATGAATGCTCTTTATTCTGCATTGGCCGAAGCTTCAAAAGCTCACGTAAGTGAACACAATGTCATTTTAATATTTAGAGATTGCAAACCTGTGAGAAAGTCGTCGTCATGCTAATTTGTGCCCTTATCAACCCATGTTACACTAACAATGAACACATTTTTTTCCCCCTGCATGCATGGCAATGTAGTGTTAAAAGGGGAATAAAGAGTACTTAAACGCGTATATTGACTTTGAGCTTTACCATTCCGCTACATTAGTTAAGGTCAAATTAATGTTATATCCTTTTAAATCACCAGGGTCTGCTGTACACAAAACTTAAACGTAGTGATGGGAAAAATTACAGGAATTTTTTTCTTTTTTCCATTGATTCCTAAATCCCCCCCTGCTCCACCCATCCTGCGTTCTTTTTCTGTCCTCGCTCAGGACACTTTACTAGGTTTTACAGTATTTTATTTTTCTTAGGTTTTTTTCCCTCCCTCCTCCTCTATGTTTCGCCTACCCATTGCGGGTGGTTGATGCTCAAAGACGAGGTAAATCCTCTGTTGCGGTAGACCATTGCCCTAAGTGGCTGAAGGTCCGTTTTTATGAGCTAGGTAAGTGGACTCTACCTTCTCTTTTCCTTGCTGTCCTCTGGCTTGCTTCCGCTCTGTCCTTTCTCCTGTAGCTCCCCGTATTCAATATGGATTCATCAGGTCGGGGGGTCTCCCCGAGGGTCCAGCCTCGTGCTGTGGCGGCTCGGCTTGCACTCCAGCTTGGAGCGCATACTTCCGGGTGCCGTGATCGTACAGTCAGGTGACCAGGGGGCGTGTGCTCTGTATCCCCCCTCTCTGGGCGGAGCCTTCTATTAAATCTTCGGTTTCTCTGGTAGTCGGGCATCTGCTCAGCTGGCTGCGGGTCGCTCTGTGTACTGCTCTGAGAGGCGTCAGGAGTTTCTGGTAGGTTTTCATTCTGGGATGCCTCTCTCCTATTTTTACTGTTATATCTTTCTTATGGTGTCTTTTCTTTTTTTCTTTCTACAGTTTTTCTTCTTGGTATGAGTCAAAGTAGCCCTATTATGGAGGCACGAAGTTCTTTAGAGAGGTAGGAGGGGTATTTAAAAAAAACAAAAACAAAAAACAAAGATCATGGTTTTCTTTTGTTTTCCAAAAAAAAAAATAGGATTATGGCATTGATTGTTTTTTTTGTTGCTTCTTGTCACCCTTATTAGGGGGAGGAGTCCCAGAACAGGGAGGAAGCATAAGACTAAATCTGCCTCTCATAGATCATCTTCTCCTGGCCGGAAGTCTTCCGCAAGATCTTCCCGTAGATCCCCTAAGCCGGGCACAAGTCGCCACTCACGGGATGGGTCTCCTAGATCATCTCCTGCTAAGCCTCCTTTTGGCTCCTGCTGGGTGTGCACGGCTCCGGCATTACCGGATAAAGTGATGTGTCTTAACTGCTTTAAAGAAGTGGCTTCTGAGGACTCTTCCCAGACACAGGATGTTAAGGCTTATATTCAAGAAGCCGTAGCAGAAGGGATTAAACTCTTTACCAGCCGAAATCCGGCTTCCAAAAAGAGAAGGGAGGAGGAAATGGCTTCAAGACATCAGTCATCCCCTGATTCCCTTAGGGAGGACTCTGACGTAGAGGAAGACGGCGGGCAGCCTTTTTCATTCGATTTTTTCCTCCGACTCCCTTGATCTTACAGACTCTTCTGAAGTTGGACAGGGAACAAGTGGAGGCAGTAGCAATCCTCCCGTGGTGGCCGAAGCGTCCGTGGTTCCCTCTGCACCTCCTATGGCATTACCTCTGGTACGGGATCTTCTGCTTCAGCAGGACATGGTCCATCCCAACTTGTCCCGGCTGAATTTGATGGCTTTCAGCTTGAGAGGCAGGGGTTACAACAATTGAATCTTTCATCTTCAGTAGTGGAGACCCTGTTGAAGGCTACTAAGCTTTCCACCAAGTCAACGTATCATAGGGTTTGGGGAAAGTTTTTGACCATGGCCGTCAGTCGGGGATGGAATCCTGAAGATCCATCGATTGGAGAAAGTCTAGAATTTGCCCTATCAGCCCTAGACGTGGGGCTCAGTTACAATACTTTACGAGTTCAAGTTTCAGCTCTGTCTGCTCTGACCAAGGTCCGTTGGGCTTTTCATCCTATGGTAAAGCAATTTCTCAGGGCTGCATTGGAGATAAGACCTCCAGTTAGATTTTTTCCTAAATGGGACCTTCCGCTGGTGCTGAGAGAATTATCGAGAAGTCCTTTTTCTCCCGCTGTGTCGAGTTCCTTATACCACATTACCTTACTGACGGTTTTCATCACATCAATCCTCTCGGCCAGGAGAGTGTCGGAACTTCGGGCCTTTTCGGTCAAGGAACCCTACTGCCATTTTTTTCCGGACCGAGTAGTGTTGAAACCCATGCCGGAGTTTCTGCCTAAAGTTTCTTTGGAGTTTCATGTTAACTGGGAATCTGTTCTGCCATCTATTAATATCGAAGATTTGGCAGTGGAAGACAAGCTTCTTAAGCAGTTGGACGCGGTGGATGTCCGGTCGGCCTACATTGCTAGGACCAGAGACTTTCGCACTTCAGATGGTCTGTTTGTTCTCCCGAGGGGTCCTAAAAAAGGAGCAGCGGCCTCAACTAGAGTGCTGTCTTCGTGGATGGTCAAGACCATTCAACTGGCATATGCTTCTGCGGGTCTTCCCCCTCCTCTTAAAGTCAGGGCTCACTCCACTAGATCGGTGTCTACCTCCTGGGCGGCCTACGCCAAAGTTCCTGCGGAGATTGTGTGCAGAGCCGCCAGCTGGTCCTCTCCTAATACGTTTATCCGACATTATAGGGTGGACGTCTCCGCCTATTCTGCTTGTTCTTTTGGGTCTGCTGTGCTCTCGGTGGCCTGTTCTCGCTGACCATACTAATAAATTGGGTTTTTTTTGCATTATAAGCCCTCCCATGTTGTTTTGAAAGCTAGCTATTTCCCATGGTATGCTGACATGGGGGAGAGCCAGGAATACGGAAAATTGTTTTCAATACTTACCGTAATTTTCCTTTCCTGGCTCTCCACCATGTCAGCATAGCTTTCCCTCCCTGGTGGTGTCTTCGCTCGGCGTGTAATTGAACGCAGGATGGGTGGAGCAGGGGGGGATTTATAATCTAGTGACGGTGGTCCTAATTGGGGTTGGGGGCGGGGCTAACCCATGGTATGCTGACATGGTGGAGAGCCAGAAAAGGAAAATTACGGTAAGTATTGAAAACAATTTTCTGTAATATATACACATACATTCAAAAATAAAAAAAAAAAAAAAAAAAAAAGGATGTATAATATGTTATGGTAGGCTACAAAACCTTCGACACATCACAGAAATGCAAAAAAAAATGTTCCTGTAGAATTTAGGGATAAAAAGGCGGAGGCACTTTTAATGAGAAAAATCAAGGTTCCTTTGATTATTATTCTTTAAAACTACCCTGCTACTCCAACAATAATCATGCAATTCATCTGTAACTGAGCAATTTTCACGTATTACAGCTCGAAAAAACCTGATAAATTACCGTATTTTTCCGCTCCATAAGACGCACTTTTTTGCCCCCAAAAGGAGGGGTAAATGATGTGCCTGCGTCTTACGGAGCGAATACCAATCGCCCGACGCTACAAAAGATCTACTATACATACATTTCTCCATAACAAAGTTTAATAATAAAAAAGCATAATTATTAGTTCTTACCTTCGAAATAAAAGGAATATGTATTCTGGTGTAAGGCTTAATTAATTTTATAAGCACTTGTGTTCTGATGTTTCTTAAAAGCTCTGCAAAACAACAAAACTCAAATGTGCATCAATGAAGAACACAAATGTAAAGCTTAGTATAGTAGCACAATAAAGCCTTCCTTAAAACACTACATGTCTCATTCCATCACATATATCAAATATAAGAGAATTATTACTCATTTTAAGACAGTGGGTGAAGCCATGCTAATCATTGCCCTGTGACCTGCCAGCCAGATGCACATCTAGAAATTCTGCTGTATAGTGCAAATATAGCCTAATATTATAGAGCCATGTATACCAAACTGCACACAGCTGTTTCAGGCTTTTTGGCCATCATCAGTGCAGTGTATGGAAACTATGGCTTCTTTGGAGTAGGATTGGGACCAAATAAAACACTATAAGCAAACAGGCTATTGTGAGTGGGCCATGAATTTATTTATAAAATATTTAAAGTGGAGTTAGGTTCAAAAAGCTTGGCATTTGGCGAGGACAGAACACAAAGAATGCATCAGTCCTTCTGTCTCTACTGCAAAACAGAAATGTCCCAGATCTCCCTCTAATTGACATACTGATCATTCACCATAACATACCGTGTAATACAAGAAATAGGAGATTTAGGTACCTTCAATGTGTTCCCTTATGAAGGGATCATCCATGATGTTGCTGTGATTTGTTTTCAGAATCTTCTCAAACTCGGTGATGTCGTTATTCTGATAGGCACTTTATTGAAAGTCAAAACAGACAGATTTGTTAAACAAAGAAGAACAAATTGCTGAACTTTGGCTAGAGTAGAGTAAAGGATTTTTTTAAACTATGTTCCATTGGGGAGATTTCCTTTTACTTCCTGTCTCATAGTCAAAATAGGAAGTGAGAAGAAATCCCATCCACCCCAAAAAAGTGAAGAAAATCCCTGGTGGTCAGCAGGGCCACCAGCACTAGTGTCCCCATTGGAAGAATGCCATCTATTCCTGTTCTAGAGACAACCCAAAATGTGGGATTTTCTTTCACTTCCAGTGATAAGTCACCAGGACAAATAGAGAGGGTGAATCTCCCTAACAGGGTCACAGACAGCAATACAAATCTGACAGGTTAAACAAAACCTAATAAAAACCTAACAGGAATACTTCTCTAGTGTACCCAAAAACTGGAGAAAGTGTTTTGGCTTCAGTTGCACTTTAAGCAAGGTTCACAAGAGGATAGAACGCTACACCAAACACCACATTTGAAATGTTGGTAATGTTTTACATTACCAATATTACCTGAAGCCCAACCTTTTAATGTAGCTTTCATCCTACCCTTTTCAAACTTAAAAGGGGGTAAGTTCTTTTTTACTTCTAATTACCAGATCCATCTCCAGACGTTTGTATCTCAATGTGCTCGCACAATTTAATTCAGCCCTGTGAATATGCAGAGCCTGCCTTCTGAACTACAACTCAACATCTGAACAATGTAAAATCATCATTGTTTGCTGGAAGCAATGCATGATGGGATATGTAGTCTTGAGAAATTGAGATTGCATCACATTGAGCAGCAGGGGAAGAAATGCAAATCACACTGGGAATACAGGAAGTTGTTGAAAGTGATGGGCAGATGGAAGGCAGTGCTCACTACATAAAATGGATTTTTTCAAATAAGCTTTGATTGTATTATCAACAAGTCTAGTATGTATTCCTATTACAATGCTGATGTTATAACAGGTTAGAATATGCTGCGACTATAGAACTTCTTTAAGAAGAAAGACTATGAATACGTTTACTATAGTTCCTGAAAAATGCCACACTTAAAGGAGGCTTCATCTCTTTTAGCTGACAGGTAGGGACTAGAGGTGCACTAAAATGGAATTTTCAGACTGAAAACAGAAAATTGAATTTTGTCAGGTCGAAACCGAAACTTATTTTTGTTCCTAACCTTTTTAAAATAATTTGTTTAATATTTTATTTATTTTTTGACTGTCGGGGAGTCTGGGAAAATATCAGGAGTCTGCCATTTGATTTTCAAAAAAGAAAGAGATTGAGGAGACCTAAATCTCTTTCTGCAGCTCCTGTTATGAATGAGCAGGAATTCTTCATACTGAGTGCTCCTGTCCATTCATAAACTGTGGATATAGTATGAGTTACTATGTCCACAATCATGAATGAACAGGAAGCGATATAGGGCACTTCCTGTTCATTCATAATTGGGGACACAGTATACATACTATGTCCTCAATTATTTACAAACACTCAGTGATTAGCTGATTGTTGAGTGTTTGCAAGCCGCTCTCCATCCTGACTTGCTGTCACAGGAGGTGGAGCAGGCTGGTTTGGGAGGAGGAGCTAAAAGCTGACTCCTCCTTCGCACCGCCAGCTTGGCCTCCTGTGACAGCTGTCTCCTCCCCACATCACTTTCTATCCTGATTTGCTTGTCACAGGAGGCCGAATGGGGCGGTGTGGGAGGAAAGCTCAGCCTCCTGTGATAACGCCAACAGCTGACTTCTCCTGGCCACGCTTGGCCACCTGAAAGTTTCTCTCCTCCCCGCTGGACGCTGCTCTGTGTCAGAGGGGACACAAAGCAGCGCCCAAGAAGGAGAAGAGAAACTAGGGCTGTACCTCATTTTCAGCCAAAAGTACAATTTTTAGCGGCCAAAATGTCAGTGCCTCCCTAGTAGTGACACTTTTTCATCTTTACACATACAGATACTTAAGCCTTTACCTGCAACAGAATCTGCTTTACACTTGATGTATAAAATGTTAATAATGATGGCTTTTCATACTACTGCATGATCAGCCGCTATAAATACTATTCCAATGACTTACCTTACTAAATTTGTCATTGCTAGAATTTCTGGATCATTTTTGTAAGGTTTAGCCTAGAAGGTAAAAGAACATTTTAATAAAACCTAAGACATCACTTCAGGAAATCTACAGAATATACAGAGGCATCCATACCTCCTGAGAGTCAAATGGGTTTATTCCAGACTTCATGAGCATGTTTGCGAGGACCAGGTATTTCAAACACGTTGTTCTCCTCGGGCTCCCGGATTCATCATAGTTTTTAAATGCTTCAAAGAAATCTGTGTGAGCTTTTTCAAACTCTCCTTCTCTTAAGTGCATCTTTCCTCCACATTCTGAAATGGAAAAAAAAAATACGAGAGGTGGTCATCACTGTCATATCTACATTTTCTCTAGTGTCCCTCCATGTTCTCTTAGTGTAGCCACTGGGGCGATTTCTCTTCACCATTTCCTAATATGTCCAAAAACAGTTTTGGTTGGAGTTCTACTTGAAATTTATACTTTTTCCACTGGTTCTCAGTGTCTCTTTTCCGTTTCATATCTGGATTTACCCACTTCTCTGCATATAAGATTGCATTTTGCATATGTATAGATTATGGCTAATCACCACCACACCTTATTTTTATGCACGGTCATCTATAAAGAAATATATCTCTAGATATAGATATATATCTCTAGCTATAACTCTAGATATAGATATCTATCTCTAGATATAGATATCTATCTCTAGATATAGATATAGATATCTATATCTAGAGATATATCTATATATATCTATATATATAGATATATATAGATATATATAGATATATATAGATATATATAGATATATATAGATATATATAGATATATATAGATATATATAGATATATATAGATATATATAGATATATATAGATATATATAGATATATATAGATATATATAGATATATATAGATATATATAGATATATATAGATATATATAGATATATATAGATATATATAGATATATATAGATATATATAGATATATATAGATATATATAGATATATATAGATATATATAGATATATATAGATATATATAGATATATATAGATATATATAGATATATATAGATATATATAGATATATATAGATATATATAGATATATATAGATATATATAGATATATATAGATATATATAGATATATATAGATATATATAGATATATATAGATATATATAGATATATATAGATATATATAGATATATATAGATATATATAGATATATATAGATATATATAGATATATATAGATATATATAGATATATATAGATATATATAGATATATATAGATATATATAGATATATATAGATATATATAGATATATATAGATATATATAGATATATATAGATATATATAGATATATATAGATATATATAGATATATATAGATATATATAGATATATATAGATATATATAGATATATATAGATATATATAGATATATATAGATATATATAGATATATATAGATATATATAGATATATATAGATATATATAGATATATATAGATATATATAGATATATATAGATATATATAGATATATATAGATATATATAGATATATATAGATATATATAGATATATATAGATATATATAGATATATATAGATATATATAGATATATATAGATATATATAGATATATATAGATATATATAGATATATATAGATATATATAGATATATATAGATATATATAGATATATATAGATATATATAGATATATATAGATATATATAGATATATATAGATATATATAGATATATATAGATATATATAGATATATATATATATATATACACATATATATATATACATACACACACACACATATACACATTACACATTACACATACATACATACATACACACAAACTAAAGGCTCCTGTATGACAGTCTAAACAAGTACCAAACCCAGATACTAAATGAAGCAGAAGCCTCATTTAGTGTCTCACATTCTCCCCTCCCAGACCCTGCAGCTCACAGTGGGAGGGGTTCAGCAACAGAGGCATTGCTGTCAATCCAGAACGCAGTGGACAGGGGGCTGATTGACAAGCTGCAGGCTTGTCATTTTGAAAAGAATCAACAGTGACAATGCTGACAGCCATGACCCTTGCAACTTTTTTTTTTCTAACTGTAGTACAAGCAAGCACAGCATGCATGAGAGTGGCACCTCTGCTCTTAATTAAAGAGCAGAGCAGCATCGTAGCCACACCTTTACAGGCAGCTGCATAAGTTGGAATTCAGTGGCAGGATTCAGGATCAACATGTATTTGTGGGACCAAGGCTCCATTCACACCTAGGCATTTTGTCGATCAAAAGTAAGTACAACAAAATGCGAAAGACAAGGAATGCCATTCATTTCTAGGCCCCTGCTCACAACTGAGTATTTTGTTGCAAAGTTTTCCATTGAAGTCCATGGGATCATAAAATGCTGTAATCCACCAAGTAGTAGCTTTCAACAAAATGCTCAGGTGTGAACAGAGGCCATAGAAATGAATGGAATTCCTTGTCTTGACCGTTTTGTTGCAGGTGTGTACGGGGACTAAGAGGAAACCATAACTGCAAATGCACTTCTATTTAAGTGCTGGAGCACATACTTTTTTTTTCTTGTTTTAGAGGGTCCATAGTCCTACTTTAGGCATTTGGTCACATATGTAGTAAACATGGTCATTTTTATTCAGGGGTTTGAAATTGTACCTTAACAATCCAAATTGTTTTACCATACTGACTATAGCCCTTCTACCAGTTTCAGGTGGTGGCCTCTAGTCTTTGTTACGGAATTAATCTTAAAAGAGTTTGTTGCTAATGTCGCTATGACTATAGAACATTTTGTACATTCATAACAAAACATGTAAAGAAAATCTGTGCCGACAGAAATTGTGGTGTGCTATTGTCGCCCTTTTCCTGAAGTTCTGACTGTCATTATGTTCATGGCCTCAAAACGTTCTAACCCACAAGGTGACTTGATGTCACTTTAAGTTCCTGCACATTCCAGGTCAGTTGACCCAGAAGCCAGAGACAGCCAGGCATTTTCACAAGTTGGTATTACTCTCAGTATGGCCTTTTTTTTTTACCCAACGTCATTTTGATAACCAAAAATAGGCACTTTGATAATAAGGCTGAAGTGCACTTCGAAACATTTACGTCATTTCTATAACACAAGTGCAAGGTCAATTAATGCATGATGGAATGCAAACTAATTTGCAAAACAAAGGTTCAGTTATGTAGCACAGCAGGTGTTATTCAGAGTTATGCTGGAAAATGTGTGATATACAATACTTGTAGGCAATGCATATTCCCAGAATAGACTTCTAATAAAAAGCTGAGTCACTTCCTTCAGTAGGTAGACGATACACAGCCAACATGACATTTACGTCACAGTCAACGCGTTGTGCCACATGATACATCATTAAATTTATAGATCACAGAAAAGGCTATTGTGCACACACATTCAATATAGTGGCTCGAAGGCACGCATGGAAAACAAACCTATGACTGCTAAAGAAATGACCTATAAGACCCAAGAAATTCTCCCGGTGTTCTAAAATAACATCAAGGTATAATGCCTGAACAACGATGGAATCATACTTCTGTACAGCAGAGCACATAGAGGCATTGTCAGGGAAAGAACTGATGTCATTGAGAGGTAATAAATACTTCTAAGGGTTACACCTACACATCACTTAGAATATATGCACAAAATGGGAAGAAATAGATCTAATGCTTGATAAGCCTTAAAGTAAACCTGAACCTGTTGTAGGGAGTCTCCTTTACCTTACAGGGTCCTATGGAACCACCTTTGTCTGTGCTGGTAGGTTGGGTGTGTCTCCACAAACACAGCAAGGCAAGCCACTCCCCAGTTCCCTACTACTTCTTCCTCCCTACCCCCTCCTCCCATCTCCACGCTAATAGATAGATAGATAGTTGTGGTGACTGCTGTCCCTTGTGATCTTGTACTGCTGAGAGAGTTGGAGCCAACCGTTTGGAAATGTATCAAAACTAGAGCAGCATGGCAACCAATCAGCTTCTATCTTCAGTTTTGTTCAGTGAACATTTTAAAATGAAAAAGGAAGAGGCTGATTGGTTGCCATGCACAGCTGCTCCAGGTTTGATACATTCCCTTCTATGTGTCTCAGCAAAAATGTAAAGAAATACTTTGCTGATCTAAGTAAATTTGTTTGATCTGGATTCAGTATTGATAACATTAAGAATTTAATATAACTTTAAAAGAGAACTTGGATGTAACAGCTGTGTAACTAATCTGCTTTTATAAGTTATATAAATGCCACATTTATAAACACCGTTTCCTACTGCCTAGAGCCACTATACTGGCAAAACGGGGAGCCCGAGGAGGAGAGCACCTACTTCCATGTTCTATGCTCTCCCTGCCTCCTCAGTCTTACACAACTATAGGTCATATTCTACAACTGTGCTTGTGTATCTAGGTCATGTAAGAGTGAGAGCCTGTCAGCAGATGCACAGTTCCATGATGCAGTAATTCAGTCCAGTTGAACTCCTTCCTCCCGAGCAGAAAAAGTTTCCCCATCATCCTCGGACTACCCTCAGCTCAGTCTCACCGCTTAAACTTGCCATTTACTACTCAAATTATAGTGGATTCCTGCTGAATCAGGCAACCCCTCACTCAACAAAAGTACATTTTTGACTTTTGTTGAAGGAGTCGGTGTGAAAACTCTCATTCAAACAGCATCTGCATCCCATCACATACACATGCTGTTTGGGTACTCAGTGGCTGCTGGATCAATGGCTACTGAATACAATAGCCAGCAATGGGAATTCCTCAGCCACACATTTAGCACGGACGGGGTAATCGATGGATTTCTTTTGTTCAGCCAATGGAGTTAAACAAGGGAAATTCATAGCGTGTATAACCAGCTTTAACCCTGCTTCTTTCTCCACTCCTTGGAAGAAGGGTGTGTTAATATTTCTTCATGTCATCAGCTGACAGGACTCTCCAGTGATGTCTTCCCTGATCTGCTAAAATAGGGATCTGTAGCTACTGTTGAGAATGGAAGGATTGCAGCGGTGTGTCCCGCTCTTGAAATCTACAAATAACTGCATAAAACCTACACACAATTTAGGGAAAAAAAGCATTTCGATCAGTTACAATGATTACAGGTATGGGATCTCCTTTTCTGAGACCTATAATAGCATGTTGAATGGGTAAATGTTGCATAATATCCAAAATGAATTCCAACATCTAAATCAGTCATGGGATTTTTTTTTTTTCCTTCCCATAAATCACAGATTTGTAAAATAAAGAGTAATGCCAGTTCCTTACCTCTGATGACTCCCATAATAAGAGGATGTGGGATAGCAGATTTGATGTGTAAGGACTGTTCGTATAGTGCTTTCAATTTCTTATTGTTTTTCTGTGCTGTATACATCTGAATTTCCAAAGCATAGATTTCCAGAAGCTGAGTTCCCTTCTTCAGATCATCCTCTCCGTCATCGGTCTAAATACACACAACACTTACACTACTGATGTACAAGTAATTCCACAGATACATTGTAGAAAAGTATTTCACCCTCCAAATGCTACAGCTACATGCTTAAAATAGAACTCTGGGGAAAATTATTATTAACACTTGCAGTGGGGCTACCCCCGCCACTGCAAGAGCTAAGTGCTTGTTTTGGTGTAGGGAGGAAAGTAATAAGAGTTATATTCACCCAATCCTTGGAGCCTACAGACTGTGACAGTGCTCCCTCCAGCAACTGAATGTCCCTTGGCATCCTCACGTTCTATATGCAGTGTATAGAATGTGACGATTTACAGGAACTTAGGCCACTGCAGCGAAGGGGGAAAGAGGCTCCAGGGACCGGTGTGAAACCAAGCTGGCTCGGAGGATCAGGCGAGTATAATTTTGTTAGTCTCCTCCCTAGACCCAGATGAGCACTTAGCTCCAATGCAAAGGTTAATAAAAATGTTTTCCTGGAGTACTTCTTTAAAAGAAAACTATATTGGAGTTAAGTACATTTTAGTTGATCTCTTTATCTACCTCGGTGATTCATATGGCGATATCAAAATCTCACGTATCCACCATGTTATATAGTTGAAGTATTGTTTAAAATGAATGCAATCAATAGGAGGTGTGTGAATCAGAAGACTGGCTGAACAAAGTTACAAATCCTATAATAACTAAAAACAGTTCGGATATAATTTTTTAAACTTTGCAATCAGCTGTTTGTCTCAAGTTCTGCTTTAAACATTTGACTACTAGAGGCGTATATTATATTTCATGGCAAGGGCAGTGGTCAGCTTTTTTCTCTCTATATTTTGACAGCCGGCTACTGTTCATAAGAACTAATTTGGGCACCTGGAAAGCCCCTTATCTTCTTTTTTATTACGCAAATAAGTGTGAATCCACCCTTGGAGTCCTGTGGTTCACACACATCCTCTTTAATCTAGGGCAGTATAGCACAAGATGAGAAGTGATGGGAGATTGTGTGCCATCACTGAACCACTCAGCCATTAGCACATCTGGGTTCGCAGTTCACCCAGTCTTATGAGCCAAACATCCATACCATACCATACAGCACAGCCAGGCCCAGTACACTCATTGTAGGCTTTAATATATTTAGTAATCTTCTGGATTGCACAATGAAGGAACAGCAGTAAACTAATGAGGTCACCCCTCCGGCCTACCCTCCTATCAGCTTGTTTGCTGACTGAAAACACTCTGCAAGTCAATAAAGCCTGATTGAGGCAAAATGCTGATCCTTCCTCTCCCAATTTGAGTGCTGGGGTATAGGGGATTGCAGATTGCTTATATTAAGACTCGGATATTAATATAATTACTAGGGATGCACTGAAATTTTGGCAGAAAATGGTACTGTGGACAAAATGCTGATAGTACCAAAACACCTGAAAATGTGGTGCATCCCTAGCTTCTACTCCTCACTGTTGGGCACCAGTCTGTGTCCCCTCCTCTCCTCTCCCCAGCCTGTGAGAGACAGCGGGGATCGAAGGGCACACAGAACTGATCCAGCTGCCGATGCTCATCAGGGAAGAGAAGCAGTCAAAAGGCCGTGCAGGGCGGTGCAGGGACGAGACAGCCGTCAGGAGGCCAAGCGGGGCAGTTTGGGAGGAGAACTCGGCCTCCTGTGACAGGTGAATCAGTCAAGATGGCGAGTGGAGCTGATCGCTGAGTGTTTGTAAATAACTGAGAACATAGTAAGCTTACTGTGTCCTCAGTTTGTTTCCAGGAATCTTCCAGGGCAGCAGCTGAGAGAAGGGATCCACCCACCTGAAACAGGAAACACATCATCCACAATTAAAATAAAAGGGAGGTCCCTCCTAACCACCTCAGTATTACAATAGAACCGAAGGGCAGAAAGGATCACCAGACAGCAAGCATGAAATTCATGTTGAACCACATCCCTCAACAAGCAGGGCGGGAATCCCTGCTGCCCTGGAAGATTCCTGGAAACAAAGTTACCAGGTACCTAACTTCTGTTTTCCCGAGTCATCTTCCAGGGCAGCACCTGAGAGTATAAGCTAGAAATTGGTAAACTTTTTTCGGGGGGAGGGGGGGCGACGACACTGCCAAGAGTTTGATCAAAACAGATGAGCAGGGCAACTCTGCAGCGCTACACCAGATATTGTAACTTAGCTCAGCGGCTTCCTTACAGATTTTCTCTGGTGAAAACCTAGCTTTCTCTGCCCAAGATGTGTCTAAGGCATTATTGAGGCTGGTCATAAAAAATTCTAGAGGATGACAGGGCGATGGATGTCAGAAGCCACCAGGCATCAGTGTTGTGATATTTTCCAGCCTTTCTTAGGCCCTGAAACAGGTCAAAATATTCTAGGATCTCTTCTGAGATTGACTGATTCCAAGTAGTGTCAGAGAAACCTTCTAAAGCCTAGTTAGATTTAGAAGCTAACTTCTATACAATGAATGAAATAGGATATGAAATAGGACAAAAATAGGGATGCTTAACCTCTTGGAATCTATCTCTGTCCTCCCAGGTCCTCAAGCTGCCAATAACTGTCCAGGATGCTGCACACCAGGACTACCCAGCAGCAGACTCTAGACCCTTGTTTCTCAACTGGTGGGTCTTGACCCAAAAGTGGGTCGCGACCCCTTGTTCAGTGGGTCGCCACAAGCCTTACACTTTTCTAGGCGAGAGGTTCCTCAGCCTCCTCCTAGCGCAGCACTGTCAGTTCTTGCGCCAAGTAACCATTTAAAATATGCTGATCGGTGCCAAGTGTCAGCTTGAGTTGGGGTGGGCTAGGGGTATGGCTGTGAGGGAGCTCCATCCATACATTGCTTATAGCTTCCTCACATGTCCTGTAGAGTTTCCTGGACCAGAGTGACATAACATTCTGGTTCCCAGCACCTCTACAGGGCGCACAAGGGAGTTGTACAAGCAATGCATATGGATGGAGCTCCGTCACATTACAGCAACCCACACTGGACCCCAGGCTGAGGATCCAGGCTGTTGCGTTGCCATTCATTTTAAATGGTACCCCAAATGCACCTACCACCCACAGTTCGTACATCTGCACCAGAACGCGTGGTACCCTAATGCCGTGCGCTCCATTGCACTGCGACTTGGGTCGCGACTTAATGACCAAGGACAAATGTGGGTCCTGAGGTTACACAGGTTGAGAACCACTGCTCTAGACTGTATATAAAAACCTCTGCCCCAATCGTTATCTGCAGCTAGTATAATTAGTCTTTTTCTCAAGTGGTATCAACTCACACGTAATTTGGTAGTAGATACTATGGATAGAAAAAGCATTAATATACATGTCTAAATGTATCGTGTGTGTCTGTACACGCACTGTCAGCGATGAACCATCACCTACTTAAGCTGCCATGGATTATGGCCTCTCAGTAAGGAAAGTATACATATCCCACACTCCAAAGACATGCTGATAGGTTAATTGGCTCCCGTATAAATTGGCCCTTGTATGAATGCATGTGAGATATGACCTTAGATTGTCAGCTCTGTAAGGGCAGGGAATGATGTGAATGTAAAGCGCAGCGAAAATTGTCCGCGCTATATAAATACCAATAATAATAAAACATAAAGAAATAAATATATATTTGCCACACACGCACGAAGATGATGTAAAGTTTGTTTGAGCCTTGTCTAGGACATCTTACTGAATGTACCCAGGGCCCTTGTTTAAAGACTTACAATTCCAGGACTTTTGATCTTTTCAGAAGTCAAGGGCTCCCTGGGTATGTAAGCTATATTTATCCAGTTAACCATCTGTATACTTATACACAGTACCTAAGTTTATTCAAATTTCTTTTATCATTCCCCTATTTGTGAGCTGTTTGAGCATTGCTTCACAAATCTGAGGAGTTAAGCATACGAATGTGTTAAATAAGCAAATAAATGTAACAGGGCGTTTTACCCTTTGTTACATGCACTCTCACCAACCTGTCTTTCCTAGCAGAAAAAACAGAGCAGCAGCTCTGAAGCCATTACTGGACACCTGACTTGTACTTTAAAGTGCCCTTATGCAAGAAGAGGCAACTATGAGAAAATAAATATTAGATGGCTCGCTTATGATCCTAAGGTCTGACACTCCTCCAATACTATAGGCAGAATAGAGGAGCCGATGTAAAAAAGCAGGTTTTTACATCATCATAAATAAATCTGTAGGGGTAAAAGCCCCCTACCATGTAGTTGTACCCAATAGACTATTATGTCTAAGTGTGGAGCTATATACTATGCAGTGATCTTGTTTATTGGGGCTTGTCCACATCGGCTGCATTCAGGTAGGTGTCCAGAACAATGGTCTCAATTCACACCTCTGCATTCAATTCCAGTGCTTTCAAATAGGGATGCACCGATACTAGTACTAGTATCTATGCTGATGCCGAGTATTTGACTCGTACTCGCCCAAATGCTCCGATGCCTAGCCAGATACTTCCAGTATCAGGAAGCCAGGTAGCATGTCATTACACACTGCCCGGCTTCCCGATTGGCCAGGAAGCCAGCTCCATGCTCTCTCGTCCCTTGTGAAGGGAAGCTGGCCAATCAGAAGCCAGGGGCCGTGTAATGACGCAACACCCGGCTTTTTGATTGACCAGAAAGCCAGCTCCATGCTTTCTCGTCACCTACTGACTAGAAGCATGGGGACGGCTTCCCTGCTAATCGGGAAGCCGGGTGGCGAGTCATTACACGGCGCCTGGCTTCCTGAATGGGACTTCCGGTACTTCGTATTCAGCGAGTAACGAAAAAAAAAATATCTGTATTCGAACTCGATACCGAAATACCGGTATCAGTGCATCCCTACTTTCTAATATAAAATTATCTGGCATAAAACCATACTACATTTATTTTCAACCGCATAACATTTCCCTAAAACATGTGAATAATTATGCCAAATGGCTTCTGAATGCAGGGAGCAGTCAGTATTCCTTGGCCATTACAACTTGTATATAATAGAGGGGTGAATACACACTTGATATCCTCCCTGACTTAAGTCCAATTCTTATGTGCGCAATTGAACAGAACGTAAAAATATGAAGTCAACTACCTGAGGGTGGGTACAGGACAAAGCTAGTGATTTTCACGGTATAGCCTGCAAAAAGGCCATGTTCCATAGAGAATCCCTAACAAAACAGGATACACAGCCTAAAAAGTTCTAAACTGTGTGCGTTCGGCAAAAGGATGCATAAGCCAAGTCTTGTCTAGGAGAACCTCCGTGGGGTAAGCTTAAACCAACCAGGGTTACTTGGTAGGTACCAGCATATATAAAGATAGGCAGTATAAGGTTACATTCATACTTTCCACTTGCACTCCATAGCCCTATGTGCAGAAAAAAAAAATAGATGTTGAAATTATGCTCCTATATGCGTTAATGACACGTGTGCATTCACGTGCATATGTGTCTAGACGCATCTAGTATCATTCTGCCATCAATTGTGTTTACAAGCATTTACACATGTTCACATGCGTCTGAAGCAAACAGAAGTTGACATGAAAACCTAGATGCAACCGACTTCTGTCTTTCACAAACACAGGTGCAGAAAAAGTCATAGTAGTCAAGTATGTGTTCAGAGCATTTGCCTTCAGAGCACCCATAACCGCAATAATGCATGTAATTGCCTTGATCCATCTTATTACTTTTGCAGAGGTACCACACACTTCTGCTATAATGAAGATGATAGGCAAGGATTTCTACCTGCAGCCTCTTATAACTCTGGCAGGGCAGTAATCATTATTAGCCGTCTTCTCCAGGTGGGATAAGTCAGCATTTTCACTTAGTCGTTCTTTAAGCATATGCGGCACATTCATACACGCACGCACGCACACACAATCTGGGTCGTCGTCCCCCCCATGTAGTTGGAAGGGTTGTTCCCCTGTGGAGCAGACCCACCCAGGTGAAACTGAAATCCATTGGAAACCTCACCTGAGCTGTGAGAGGAAAAATGGTTAACTTAAGGAACTATAGAAGAGTCCCTTAAGGACCAGATTCAGCTATAGTATAGGTGTCTCTATATTCAGCCTTTTATCACCACAATAATCATTATAAGTGGTCTTATCCCGTTGGGATAAAGTTATGGCACAACCGCTTATTTGTTTCATCAACGTATGCCGCATACCTAGAGCCTTATCAGGTTTTAACCCTAGGAGGGGAAAATTAGGCTCTTGCGATATAAGGAAAAAATGTAACAGTGCCACCCAAGTAGCAGGAACCCCATATGACTGTCTAGAGCAGGGGCGTCAAACTCAATTTAATCATGGGCCGCATCAACATCATGGTTGCCCTCAAAGGGCCGGTTGTATCTGTAAGACTATGTAAATGTATCTAATCTTCATCATAATTGCCTCTGCATTCGATTATCACTGGTTTTACTAATAACTTAATACCTAGATCTGAAAGTAGAAGCCTAGGAAATGGCCTGGTGGGCCGGATTCAGCCCCTGGGCCTTGAGTTTGACACATGTGGTCTAGAGGTTTCCACCAGTGCAGTTAGAATGGTCAATCACCTGTGGTGCAGACACACCCCGGTGAATTGAAATCCATTGGAAAAAACTAAATGCTGAATTCAAGGAAACTGCAGAAAAATTCCCCATTACCTCTGCAAAGGTAGCACAGGCTTCTGCTATAGTATAGATGCTGGGCAAGGCTCTCTATAGGGAGCTTCTTATCACAGCAATAAAGGCCATGGCATATCCAATTATTTGTTTATTCAGCGTATGCCGAATACATAGAGCCTTATCAGGTTCACCCTAGTGTGAAAGCAGGGCTCTTGCGATAGAAGGGCAACATATAACAGTGCAACCCAAATGTCAGGAATCGCCCCATACTGTCTGGAGATTTCCAACAGAGCAGACAGTAAGGTCATTCACCTGTGGAACAGCCCCACCCAGGTAAAATTGAAAACAAACAATTAGGGAAATACTCACCCTATACCAAATACATAGAGCCTTATCAGGTTTAACCCTAAAAGGGAAAGCAAGGCTCTTGCGATCTAAGGGCAAAAAATAAGAGTGCTGCCCAATTGGGAGGAACCGCCCCAGATTGTCTGGAGATTTCCAGCAGTGCAGACAGCAAGGTAATTCACCTATGGAGCACCCACACCCAGGTGAAATTGAAAAGCAATTAAGAAAAAAACTCAACCTAGCAGCCTGAGATTAAAAGGTAAAATTTTAGGAAGGTCCTTAAATATAACGACTCTAAGATATAAACAATAAAAAAGTGTTGAATAGAAAAAAGACGAGTGTGGAACATATTACCACCTATCTGCAAACCTTGTAAAATGAACCGTTGCCTGCCTTTCAATGTAAAACAGGGTGATCCACCCACCACCCCTATACCTCAACATATCTAAGTTAAAAACAGGGAATAGGAATAATCCATTCCACGTCTAAGCACCAAAGAAAACATGTCTTAGGGTACTACATACCTTGCCGTCTGTTTCACCGGTAAGTTGTCTGCAGGCATAAGCACATGGCTGAGTACCACAAAACACACCGCATTACCGCCAACACTGTGTGGCCCTGCAGTCTCAGGTATTCCATGAGATGGGCACTGCTAGGAATACCTTCCTTCCAGTATAAGACATGACAATGAAGCATGCTCCCTACCCCCAGCAAGATGTACACGAGAGGGGAGAGTGCAGAGGAAGCCCCCCAAAAAAGTGGAACAGCCAGGATCCGTCCCCAGCAGCCTAGGAGCCAGATCCCGTGTATATGAGAGATATAACCATGGACTCTCTACCAAGCATGCCACTCTCAGGAGATGCACAGATCTGACAAAAAGGCTTGGACCGGGATAAAAAGTTTGTCAATGCAGGAAGCACATCTTAGGGTTTGTTGGCTTCTGCTGGCAGGGGCTTATCCTATACTTATGCCAAAAAAAGAGAAGGGCTCAGAGACTGCCAAACACGAGACCAAGTTGCACATACGTGGAGAGAAACACACAGGAGGTGCATAAACCAAGCCAAGTACCCTTTGCCCCACCGAGGCAGGCCCCCAAAGCAAGAGGGTACAGGGAGGGGGGACTTGTCAACTGTAGACCCACCTACCTTGGAGACCTGGCGCCTTGAACCCCTAGAATAGGAGAAGCAGCCTGTGAAGAAGGGTCCGACTGAGTAACACACCCCTTGCCGGCTGGACTGACGCTCCTGCCCCACTCCTGGCGCCCCTCCTTGCTGGTGTGGATTGCCAACAAGACGTGGTATTCATGTCCTGCTGTGACCAAGCTCTGCCCTCGGGCCAGAGAGCCCAGCGGGTGATCCGTCAATTCCTCTAGCAGGACCCTCCGGGAGACTCAGCTAGAGTCACTAGGCCAAGGAGTATAGTTGCCATCTCCTTCAATTATAGAGGGAAACCTCTGGGCAAACAGTTTTTATAAGGACTCTGGGGGAACCAGTCCTGGGTAAATGTCCCGCACATGAGGCCCTTCAGGTCCTCTGTCCCTGTGAGTGAGAGTCGGATGCCACTGCTATCTAGCACAAAGGCCTGGAGTAAAATAACAAACGTTACGATGCTCCTGTTCGGCCGGAGAAAAAACACAAATACTGTTTTCTAATAGAAGGGACTGCCCCTTTTATTCTAATTGTGGATGATGTGCTTCCTGTTTCAGGTGGGTGGATCCCTTCTCTCAGGTGCTGCTCTGGAAGATGACTTGGGAAAAAAATAAAAAAAATAAAATAAATGATTAAAAAAAAAAAAAAAAGGTTCGAAAAATAAGTAATTTTCGGCCTGACATTTTTTTATTTCGTTTTTGGTCTGAAAATTTCATTTCTGTGCATCCCTTTTTTTTTTCTTAATTTCTTCCCAGTGGTCAATTAGACCACTGATTTACTAAGGCAGACAATTTCAGAAAAGTATAATTAAGACAAACCTATATTACCTGACAAGATTGGTGTAGCTGGCGTAAAATCTTCTGTAATTTTCCATATTCTTCTCTTTCTAAATACAACTTACCGAGCTGCAAAAAAGAATCCACTGATATTATTTATTTTCTAAACTTCATTATAACTGCCGTGGTTAAACAGCAAGCTTTGTTTGAAAAGGCTGCTAGAAGGATAAACATTGCTAGCAAAGGCCTAATCCAAAGTGAAAATGTATTCTAAAGCAGATCATCCTCCAGAAGAACTGAAAGAATCATGAAAATGTAATATTACATCTGAAATATAGACTGTTCAGAGCTTAAAAGGAGAAATATGAGGCGAGTGATTTTCACTAAGCCTCATAATCTCAGCCGACCTGTGACAATGAAACTGTCACAGGTCGACTCAGCAGATCCGGAAGTGAGCGAACACATACCGCCGCTCGCTCACTTCTTGATCTATCCGTGCAGAGAGCCATGACTGTCACTCACGGCTCCCTGCAGGGATTCCCCCCCTCCCCTGTCCGATCCTCCAGTGCTGACTGGCGGAGACGGACGGGGGAGCGGGTACAGCTGGCTCTGCCTCTAGATAGGCAGAGCCAGCTGTCACTCACGCAGCTGGGTGGATCCAGACAGTAATGTTGGGATCCGTTCTCCTTTAACCAAAACTCTAGGATTATTAAAAAGGACAGAAAGACAGAAAAAACAAGGATTGGGTTAGTTTCACAATACAGCAATCTTTTTTTTTTAAATCTTGTCCTTTTAATAACTGAGCTTTGTTGCTTAGACAAAAGAACCAAGTTCGCTCCCGTGACTGACTAAAGTCTAATGTAGTCCATCATCGGAGTGAGCTTGGAGTGGTGGCTACTTTACAACACACACACAGGGACAAGTAGCCACCCCCCTGAAGGAAGGACAGTGTCAGAACGAATTCAGAGATTATTTGAGGGTATACAGCTGAGTTATACACAAATAAGATACATGTTTGTTAATAGTTAAGGTACTTGAATGCATTTTTGAAGCTCAACTCCTAAGGGCCGGTGCACACCTAGGCAATTTGTCGCGCAAAACACAGATTCGCATTGAAGTCAATGGAGGCTGTTCCCACCTTTGCGGTTTGTCGCATGGATGAAAATCGCCTGTTGCGCGAAAAGGTGCAGGAGCTATTCTCGGGCGGTTGTCTTGCAGTTTGGGTCCCATAGACATCTCTATGCATTGAAAACCGCACGATTTACAATGAACAGTCACGCGATCAAAAACGCGCGAAAACAGCTCAGCATCTGAATTGCTTAGGTGTGAACCTAGCCTTAGAGCTTAGTGTCACTTTAAGAAAACTAGAAAAAGTAAAGCACATACAGTATAAACCCTTTTTTTTGTAATTGCATAATGGGCCTCCTACCTTAAAGGAGATGAGGTGAGTGCTTTTCACTCACCTCATAGTTCTAGCCGACCTGTGACAATGAGACGGTCACAGGTCGGCTCAGTAGATCGGGAGGTGAGCGAACACATATCGAGTTCGCTCGCCTCTCGATCCTGTCACGGCTCTCTGCCGTGACAGGGGGAGGGGCTGGATTCCCCTCTCCCCGCTCCGATCTGCCAGCGCTGACTGGCGGAACGGACAGGGGAGGGAGCGGGTACAGCTGGCTCTGCCTCTAGATAGGCAGAGCCAGCTGTCACTCACGCAGCTGGGCGAATCCCGTCATCTACGTCGGGATCCGCTCCGGTGTCTCAGTATACCGCGAGCTGTAGCTCGCGGTATACTGAGCTTAGGGTAACAGGAGGACGCTAGTTTGTGTCCTCCCGTTACCCTAAGGAGAACTATGGGGAAAAAACACTGACCCCATAGTTCTCCTTTAAAGGGAAATTCCACCTTTTTAAAAAGAAAAGTAAATGCATACTTCTTCGTAAAAGGAAAAAATATGCTCTTGACAATTTTTCTTCATTGGAGCCAGTAAAGCATTGCAACTGGGATCAGCGGATTGAGGGTGCAATGCTCTGGCTCCTGCAGATTCTTCCAGCTGTCCATATCCCTACCGCGGTACGGACATTCAGTAACATGGACAGGAGGAAGCTATGAATGGGCTGTGACGTCACCGCACCTCCATTAAGAACTACAAGTCCCTCTGCCATAGTGACTGATGGGACTTGAAGTTTCATCATTCAACAATCCTGTCTTGTGACCATGTTTCATGTTATACCCTAAATATGGGTGTAACATGAAACATAGTCAGAAAGGTAAACTTAGCCTTTAATAGCAAGTGCAAACATTTGTGTCATGCATTTCATGTTTGCTGTGAAAATGTATCTTATTTATTGCTCCTCTGAAAAGAGCATTTACAGCTTTTCCCATTCACTTCCGGTAGGTGGTTGCACATGGTGTCACCTGCACTTCTCGTCGCTGTGATGTACAGGTAGCAGCCGGAATACATTTCCTGCCACCACCTCTCCCCTCCTTTCCTGTCAGACACTCCCAGAAGAGTAGAGGGCTAATTACTCTCCGTGCTAGCCCAAATCTTCCATTTCTCCCTTAACCTCCCTACATAAAAACTTATATGTAGTAACTCAGGAATGAAGAGTGATGGGGTATAGTGTCACTTGCGTGACAGTTCTGACTCTACCGGGGCTGCTAACATCACATATAGGATGGAAGCACCCAGCAGCCGTCTCAGGACTTTTAAACAAGGAAGTCTTTTACAGGTAAATAACATGCAAATGATGAGTTAAATGCACGTATAAACCTATGGGAAGATTGTTGTTCAAATGAAGGGTCAGTCACACAGTCACTTCATGTGAGGAGTAAACCCTGATTTTCTGGATTTGCAATGGATTTGATGAAATTTAAACACCCTTTAAGAACACCATGCTGTAATTCATCTGAAAGCTGTATAACAAATGCACAATCCACCTTTGTGTTTGTTTTAAACCACAACCGATCATTCTTTGCATCCTTGAGAGCTTCAAGAGTTGTTTCATAAAACTCTTGTAGAAGGTCCATCTGCAAAAAGGAAAAAAAATAATAGTCTAAGCAAACAAGTACACTTCGCATATAACTTAACCGCAAAAGAAGGTAAAAAGTCAGACTCCTTCTACAACCCCAATTCCAAAAAAGTTGGGACGCTGTGTAAAATCTACATAAAAACAGAATGCAATGATTGGCAAATGTCCTAAACATAGATTTTATCCACAATAGAAAACATATCAAATGTTTAAACTGAGAAAATGAACCATTTTAAGAAAAAATAAGGTCATTTTGAAATTGATGGCAGCAACACGGCTCAAAAAAGTTGGGACAGGGCCATGTTTACCACGGTGCAGCATCCTCTCTGCTAACAACACTCTGTACGTGTCTGGGAACTGAGACCAGTTGCTGGAGTTTTGAGAGAGAGGAATGTTATCTCTCTCTTGCCTGATATAAAATTCCAACTGCTCAACAGTCCTGGGTCTTCTTTGTGATATTTGTCGTTTCAAGATGTGCCAAATATTTTCAGTTAGTGAAAGGTCTGGACTGCAGGCAGGCCAGTTAAGCACCCAGACTCTTCTACTACGAAGTCATGCTATTGTCAGTTGCAGTATGCCATTTAGCATTGTCCTGCTGAAACATGCAAAGCCTTTCCTGAAAATGACGGCGTCTAGATCAGGCTTTCTTAAACTATCTCCACTCATGACCCCTTTCTGGCCTCCCCTAGCGTAATTAGGTGTCTCTCTATCTTCCCCCCTCCGCCAGCATCGGTCAGTGTCTCTCTCGTCTTGTCTCCCCCCCCGC